CTAGATGCAACTGGACATCTTTCACCTCCAGAGTGCTGGACTTGCGATGCCGGGCAAGCTGGCAGGCTGCTGTCACCACACTCTCAATAAAATCATCAGCAATCTGCAGCAGCATCTGGAGAAGGTAAAGTGAGTGACAGTAACAGTGATATTGGCAGGATAGGGATAGGCTCCTGTTGCTGAGACAATAGTTTTCTGCCTGCATTTAAAATTTTGTTGTTGTTGTTGTTGGGAGGGGTACTGGGGATTGAATTCAGGAAGATTCATCCACTGAGCCACATCCCCAGCCCAATTTTCTATTTTATTTAGAGATGGGGTCTCAATGAGTTGCATAGCACCTTGCTGTTGCTGAGGCTGGCTTCAAATTCTCGATCCTCCTGTTGCAGTCTCCCAAGATACTGGGATTACAGGCATGCACCAATGTGTCTGGCTAATATTATTTTTAGATGTTGATGGACTTTTATTTTATTCATTTATTTATATGTGGTGCTGAGAATTGAACCCAGTTCCTCGTGCTCTACCACTGAGCCACAATCCCAGCCATCTGCCTACATAATACGTAAAATGTGTGCGTGTGTGTGTATTGATTTCTTTTTCTTTTTTTGCTTTTGGTACTAGAAGTTGAATTTGGGGCACATTACCATTGAATAATATCCCCAATCCTTTTTTATTTTGAGACAGGGTCTCACTAAGTGCTAAGGGTAGCCTTGAACTTATGATCTTTCTGCCTCTGCCTCCCAAATTGCTGGGATTACAGATRTGAGCCAATGTGTCTAGTCTGAATTACATATTTCAATAGACTTTCTATTAGTAGGCCTGAAATCAGCATTTGGGCTAAGGTRGGGATAAGAAATGAGGAGGACAACAGAAACATTACCCAGATCAAAAGTTAGGACAAGGGCTGGGGACGTGGCTCAAGCGGTAACGCACTTGCCTGGCATGCGTGGGGCACTGGGTTCGATCCTCAGCACCACATAAAAAGTAAAATAAAATAAAATAAAATAAAGATGTTGTGTCCACCGAAAACTGAAAAATAAATATTAAAAAAAAAAAGTTAGGACAAATTGAAGATAGATGAAAATGTTAAGACTCAGGAGAACCAACTTGCTTATGGCTATGTAACTAGAAAGCAGTGGAAACAGAATTTCATTTCATTATTCTGAGTCCAAATTCTAAGATCT